TTAATTTTATCCATGGAAGCAGACAAGTAATTCAGAACAGAATTTAGGATAGCAGTGAGCTCCAAAACCACACCCTGAGCAAATGAATACCAACACCCTTAGTTATAAAGTGAACAAATTGCAACTGCAATGAAACTGGACATATCTCCTGATACTTTAAAGTAGATTGAAGATGGGTTTGAAGTTGTTGAACTCTCACAAGCTTGCAGCCACACTTCAAAATCACAATCATTAGGCTGGTCAGCAGCAGCTTGGGTCAACTTATCACTTGTATTGAACTCGTTCTCTAACTGATGTTTGATTACAGTTTCTATGAAGCCCTGTAATTAGTTGGTGGATTTCATGATGGGAGGGGTCAGCAAGTACCAAATACCTTTCTATTTTCTATGGAAACGAACTTCTAGAACTTAAGGCAGAATCTTTAAAAGGCCTTGAACTAGAGATTCAACTCATAACACTTCAGTACCTTCTACATCTTGATTATGCACGAATTACCTAAAATAATTTGGATGATATGTTACCTTTCTTTATCAAATATGTATTGGAAGAACTCGCTAGCTTCCCTAGTTTTGTTAAGAACTATGGGAACTATTATCTGGGAACCTGGGAACTATTATCAAAACATCTAAACGTACTAACAATTAACACCTTTTAAATTACAATGCTTTTAGATTTCTATTAAAATGACCCCTTATAACACATTTACCATTTCGCAATGGTCTCCTGCAATTTGTAGAAATCCGACCGAGGAATGATATGTGTGCAACAAATACATATAGTAATTCTAGAGATTTCTTGATGCATCACCACAAAAACTAGTAAGATATTTTAAAAGATTATTACTATATTGTACACACAAAAAATTACATTAATTTAATTTATGACTTTCCACTAAACAATATGTTATCTGTTTATTTGTAGTTATTTGCACTCAGATTCTGAACAGTTCAAGTGCAATGTGATTTTCATTTTAAGTATAAAAATACTTTTCTTCATTTTACAGTTTTTGAGTTTTATTTGCATAACCTACTAAATAAATATCAAAATGTTTTAAGGTAAATGTTTGTATTTCATTTTCACTACCACATCACTAACTTTAGATATTGTTACGTCA